TAATCCACAATCAATACAGACATCAAGTTGTTACTGAAAGGCAAAGCAGGGATGATCGTCAGTCTTATTGTCAGTATCTTCTGCCAGAGTCCAAATTGTTAGAATGTAATATTTTGTGCAGGCATACAGTTGCTACCTTGAAGCTGTTCGCATACAACCGACATTTGCTATTGCATGGTCGAATCTTGCTGGTCTTTTCATGGAGTCAGGTGATCTCAATAGAGCCCTTCAATACTACAAGGTATGCTTCATTCTGTCCTAGAAAAATCCATGGACACCGTAGTATGTTTTAACTACGTTGGCTGAATTTCTTAAAATACCAGGAAGCTGTGAAGTTGAAACCTGCATTCCCTGATGCATATTTAAATCTAGGAAATGTGTATAAGGTATGTATACGTCTCTTGTTTCGTTCAGGTTCAGTAGCTGAAATTTCAGTACTATAATGTTTGATGGACAATATAAAGAAACAAAGTTTCTTTCTTCTTTGTTTATAAGGCTCTCGGAAGAGCTACAGAGGCAATCATGTGTTATCAGCATGCCATACAGCTGCAGCCAAATTGTGCAATGGCATTTGGTGAGTGTAATTTGATCAAGTAAATGCTTAGCTTAGCTGTAATAAAATTTACTTTGCTCAAGTAAATGTGTGATGGATTACCCATAATTGAAACATAAACTACTTGATGCAGGGAATATAGCCAGTATATACTATGAGCAAGGTCAACTGGATTTAGCAATTCGACACTACAAGCAGGCCATCTCCCGAGATCCACGATTTTTAGAGGCTTACAACAACATGGTTAGCATCCACAACACATTATGTGGGTTTTGTGGTCTGCGAACTATATTTCTGACATGATCTTTTTGCATTTGCGACTTAAGGGTAATGCATTGAAGGACATTGGGCGAGTAGACGAAGCAATTAGATGTTATAATGTACGTGTGGTTTCCTATCTGAGACTTACTAGTGAATTTGAACATTACTCACAAACCTGTGGTTATATTATAGCAATGTCTTGCTTTACAACCAAATCATCCACAGGCAATGGCCAATCTTGGAAATATTTATATGGAGTGGTATGCGATCCTTTCTTTCTTCTTGCTAGATACATAATATTGTAAATTACCGTAACTTCATGTCACAACTTTGAACAGGAATATGATGGGTCCTGCTTCCTCGTTATTCAAGGCTACTTTGGCTGTAACTACAGGGCTGTCTGCTCCTTTCAATAACCTTGCAATAATTTACAAACAACAGGTTTGCTATATGCTCCTATCAATTTTCAATCATTTTTGGACCCTTGAACATGTTAGACGAAATTTGTTTTTTTATCCTTCACGACAGGGAAATTACACGGATGCTATATCCTGTTATAATGAGGTTCTTCGTATTGACCCATTGGCTGCTGATGCTCTTGTCAATAGAGGGAATACTTACAAAGAGATCGGCAGGGTAACTGAAGCAATTCAGGATTATATGCATGCTATTACTTTCCGGCCTACTATGGCTGAAGCTCATGCGAACCTGGCCTCAGCTTACAAGGACAGGTATCCATTCTCTGTATATTGCATTTTTAATGTATATTAGACACATTCCGGCCTGCAATGGCTGAAGCTCATGCGAACAATTAAGATGTGACAGTACAACATTGGCCATGTTTTAACTGTGTATGTTCCACCAGAAAGAATTTTTTCATTTTGTGTTGATGTATTTGGTGGACCTTCTTGCATGAGCAGCGGGCATGTGGAAGCTGCCATAACGAGTTATAAGCAGGCCTTGCTACTACGACCGGACTTCCCAGAAGCAACCTGCAACCTTCTGCACACCTTGCAGGTATTTCTTTTCCGTGGTTTGATGTCAAACGTTTGATATGATAGCTTTTGTCTCTGTTTCCTGGTTCTTGTTCTCTATCTCTTCGCTTCCCATGAGTTAATTCTTCTTTCCTGCTGCTGTACCAGTGTGTATGCTGTTGGGAGGACCGCAGCAAAATGTTCACTGAAGTTGAAGGCATTATTAGGAGGCAAATAAATGTAAGTATTTATGCCACACAATAATTTTGGTACTTTTTATGTTATTACAGAGTAAGGAGACAGTATATCCTGTTGATCCTATCTTCAGATGTCGGTCCTTCCAAGTGTCCAGCCCTTCCATGCGATAGCGTATCCAATTGATCCTATTCTTGCCCTTGAAATCAGGTTTGAAACTGAAATTGAAGACTAATACTTATCATGAAAACACATGTTTATTGGCCTCTTCCTTATAAAATCCTATATTTTCAGTCGTAAATATGCTGCACACTGCTCCATAATCGCTTCCCGTTTTGGACTACCACCCTTTAACCATCCAGCTGGGCTCCCTGTAAAACGTGAGGGAGGATTTAAGAGATTAAGGATTGGATATGTGAGCAGTGATTTTGGTAATCATCCGTTGTCACACCTCATGGGATCAGTGTTTGGGATGCACAACAGAGAAAATGTTGAGGTTTGTATTCTGCGTTTGGATATTTGTTGATCCATTTCTTAAGATCTGCCTGGTTTCATATCCTGTGTGTCGAATCTATGATTCAGTATTTGATGGCAGATCATTCTGTATCTGCCTATATTGTGTTTGGAATCTGGGATTTCAGCAAAGCAAATCACATTTTTACAGGTTTTCTGTTATGCATTGAGTCCAAATGATGGAACTGAGTGGAGACAGCGTATTCAGTCAGAAGCTGAGCATTTCCTGGACGTTTCTGCTATGTCTTCCGATGCTATCGCAAAAATTATAAATGAAGACAAAATCCAGGTCCTCATTAATCTAAATGGTTACACCAAGGTATGCTCTGAACATTTCAGAAACTTTTGACTTTGGAGCTGTAACCAACTTTGGTAACAGTGTTTGGTTTTAACCTATGCAGGGGGCTAGGAATGAAATATTTGCCATGCAGCCTGCACCAATCCAGGTTTCGTATATGGGCTTCCCGGGTACAACTGGGGCAACCTACATCGACTATTTAATGACTGATGAGGTTGGCAACTGAATTAGAGTTTTTTTTTTAATACTTCAGAAGATTTTTCTTTTCTCCCAAACTTCTTGTTTCTATGTTTTGACTGTTTACTCTCTTTTCCTTTGCAGTTTGTGTCTCCTCTGCGATATGCACATATTTACTCAGAGAAGCTGGTCCATCTTCCACATTGCTACTTTGTCAATGACTACAAGCAGGTACCGTTCAGAGAAAAGTTATCTTTATCATGTTATTGACATTCATCAATTTTACAGTGGTATTTGAATATTAAAAACTCATTGTATAAATGGTATTTGCAGAAAAACAAGGATGTGTTGGATCCAAATTCTAAGCCCAAGCGATCAGACTATGGACTTCCTGAAGACAAATTCATATTTGCATGCTTCAATCAACTGTACAAAATGGATCCTGAGATTGTTAATACTTGGTAATGTTAGCTTTTGAGTTTTGTTTGGCTACATACGCCACCTTACACTGTCATGAAATCGTAAATAACATTCTGTAGGTACTTGGTACAGATGTAAGTTTACACATTAGCTAACTAATTTTTATTTTTTTTGGTTGTCATGAAGGTGCAACATTCTTAAACGAGTACCCAACAGTGCTCTTTGGCTTCTCCGCTTCCCTGCAGCCGGAGAAATGAGGTTTCGCACATGTACGTGTGGTTCCATTCCCCTCGCTTAGCGTTTCCTTGTTTTTTTTTTCTGCTTTCATCATTTCTTATAATCTTACATTTCTGACCTCATATCCAGATGCTGCTGCCCAAGGTGTACATCCTGATCAGATTATCTTCACGGATGTTGCCATGAAGAGTGAACATATCAGGCGAAGTGTCCTTGCTGATGTAATCCTCGATACGTGAGTTCTTTTCCCTTTCTACTTCCATATATTCGTTGTTCATTCGGCCACAATTTTGACTCCCCTCGTCTTGTCCGTAGGCCTTTGTGTAACGGACACACAACAGGAACAGATGTTCTCTGGGCTGGTGTACCGATAATTACATTACCCCTTGAGAAAATGGCAACCCGTGTTGCTGGATCACTCTGCCTTGCAACTGGTCTGGGACATGAGATGATTGTAAACAGGTGAGTATCAGCATAAACCAAACTTGAGCTGTGTTCGGTATCCTCTGTTTTCATGGAAATGGATGAGATATTCATTTTGATTTTTATAACGCTTGTGAAATCAGCTTGGAGGAATACAAAGAAAAGGCCGTCTCTTTGGCTTTGAACAAGCCAAAACTTCAGGCACTGACTAAGGAGTTGAGGGCTAGCCGCTTAACATGTCCTCTATTCGACACCATGCGTTGGGTTAGTCTGGAAACACTTTCCGACTCTATTCTCTTCTCTTCCTGCCGGTTTCATTTCTTAACCAATTAAGCTCCCTTGGGTACAGGTGAAGAATCTGGAGAGGTCATACTTCAAAATGTGGAACCTCCATTGCTCTGGACAGCAACCGCAACACTTCAAAGTAACGGAAAACGACCTGGAATTCCCACATGACAGATAAACAAAATCGAGGGGAAAGAAAATCGAAACTCGAAACTCGGCATTGTATATAAAAACCGAAGAGAATTAGTAGTAGCAGAAAGATTGATAAAATTATCAGAGCTAGAAGATTATAATATTATTGATCTGTATACTATATAACAAGCCTGGTCTATGTTATCCTTATGATCAAATCTTATATCACAGAAAACAAACTATCTATCAATGTTATAAATCACAGACACAAGTCCAAATATTCCAACAAAGGTATTGATTGCGGTGACAACCACCGGTTCATTAGAAAACCAGCCGGTTCAGCTAAACTAGGGACTGGACCGTATTACGCCCAGATTTTATGGGCCTTAAAAATTCAGTTCAATACAACCTAATTTAGCCCATTATCTCATCGACCTATAAAAGCTTAGCTTCTCTTGGACAAATTAGGGTTTTTTTCTCTCTCTCTCTTATTTTTCGATTTTGGCCGCACAGAATCACGAAAACCCTATCTATGGCGTCTCAACCGGCGAAAGAGTCTGTTCAATGCTTCGGAAGGAAGAAGACGGCTACCGCCGTCACCCACTGCAAACGCGGGTCAGGTCTGATCAAGCTCAACGGTTCTCCGATCGAGCTTCATCAGCCAGAGATCCTCCGTTTCAAGATCTTGGAGCCAATCTACCTCCTCGGGAAGCACCGATTCGCCGGAGTTGACATGAGGATCCGTGTTAGTGGTGGTGGTAACACATCTCAGGTCTACGCGATTCGTCAGAGCATCGCAAAGGCGCTCGTTGCTTTTTACCAGAAGTATGTTGATGAGCAGTCGAAGAAGGAGATCAAGGATATCTTGGTGAGGTACGATAGGACTCTACTCGTTGCGGATCCGAGGAGGTGCGAGCCGAAGAAGTTTGGTGGTCGTGGTGCTCGTTCTCGTTTCCAGAAGAGTTACCGTTAAAAATCTGGTTTGGGTTTTTGTTTCTCTCTCTCTCTCAATGTTTTTTGGGATATGAAATGTTGAAATTGTGAGACTTTAGATTCTACTTTTGCGTATGGTTGTTGGATAATGGCTAATCGCCCAAAGTACTTATGTTTTTGCAATGTTTTAACTATCGAAATGTTCTCAATTTTTGCAAGCTATTATCTTTCTATCACTATTTTCATTTACTGTCTGTGCTTTATGGAATTGATAAATTGTCTGTCTTGGTCGCTGCCTGAAACTATTGGGTATTTGTGGATTTGTGAAAGTCTCTGGCTTGTAGTTTCTAGAATTTAGAGTTGAAACTTTTGATTGTTGAAATTTTACTTTGAGATATGACTTGAAGAACTCTGCAAAGTGCTTTGCTAGCTAAGGTTTAGTTGCAATTTGCCCCACCGGAGAAACTAAATGGTATTTTCTTGTATGTGTGATATTGCTTAAGAACTTGTATGCTGTCATTTGTGCTGGAGTAGAAGCAATATTTGTCAATTGTTTTCTCCAACTTGTGTAATTGTTAAGGTTCTATTCATGGAACGTAAGCTAATCGTTTCTGAAATGAAAAACACTGATTGAATAGTGTTGGCCTCATTTCTCTTAGAAATGATAAATTTATGGATTGGTGTTATCAGCAAATGACCAAATATCCCTGTATTTATTTGAAATTTACAACATGGTCTTATATTAATGCAAGAGACTTCTTCTTTGGTTTACTTCTCTCCAAATGTTGTTAAACGTCTCACATTGCTATCTCCTTCTGAAAAGTCAGCAATTTTTGTACCGACCTTGATCGTTGACTCCACATTATATGGGATTTGTCGAAATATCTCAATATCTTTTGGTTGTAACTAATTTAGCTCCTTTTCAACATCCAAAGTTAAATCCTTGAAAGTGAAAGGTATTTTGGCTTAACGGTACCAATTAGGAATTATGGATCATAGATTTAATTTTAGGGTTATAGTGAAATAAATCATTCGAAAACAATAAAAAGGTGGGTGAATGATTTTGTGAGAAATCGAAAGTAATGGGGATAGAACGTATTTTAGCAGCACTACTAAATTTCTTCCCACTTGACGATAGCTTATATAAAACCCTTTCCATTTGTACAAACTCTGTCCACCTCTTCCATTTCATTCTGCAGATTATTTCTGAAATTTTTTTGAGACCTCGAATCCTTTTTCATGGCTCTTTATCCTTTGTCTTCTTCGTCTTCACGCAATTGGATACACGATGTCTTCCCGAGCTTCCACGGAGCAAGATGTTCGCACAGCTTTCCTTAGTCACGTTCTGAAAGAGTTTGGAAGAAAAGGAATCAACACATTCATTGATAATGATTTTGGGAAGGTCTTCGAAGAAACAGAGGAGGAGATTCGGAGATGGAGAGAGGCTTTGGCAGAAGTGGCAACGATTGCTGGTTACCATTCAAGAAACTGGTTAGCTCTCTTGACCTCCACTTTCACTTTTTTTTTTTTTTCTTAAGATAAATTCTTGCAATTATATTGCCTTCAAGATGTGACTGAATATTAATCGAGGACTATATAATGGATGCGTTGGTCTGTCTTTTGATTTTACATTGATCTGTCTGTTGTTAGGCGTTATGAGGCGGACATGATCGAACAAATTGCGACTGATGTTTCAAATGTGCTGAATGATTCTATCCCATCAATCTACTTTGAAGCCTTAGTTGGGATTGAAGCTCACATGGAAAAGATGTGGCCGTTGTTAAGCCTAAAATGTGATGAAGTCAGAATGGTAGGGATCTGGGATCCCGCAGGTATTGGTAAGACAACCATTGCCAGAGCCGTATATGAAAAACTTTATAGTGACTTCAAGCTTACGGCATTTATAGAGAGTTTAAAAGGAAGTTATACAACGCAATACCTCGACAACCATGCATCCATGTTGCATTTGCAGGAACAGTTTTTGTCTGAGATCTTAAATCAAAAAGATTTGAAGATAAGTCACTTAGGTGTGGTACAGGGAAGGCTGAAAGACAAGAAAGTACTTTGTCGTTCTTGATGATGTGGATCACTCAGTACAACTACGTGCCATGGCAGATCAACCTCAATGGTTTGGCCGTGGAAGTCGAATTATTATTACAACGCAAGATCAAAAACTCTTAAAGGCACATGGGGTCGATCATATTTACAAGGTGGATTATCCAATTAATGAAGAGGCTCTAGAGATATTTTGCATGTATGCCTTTGGTCAAAAGTCCCCTAAAGTTGGTTTTGAGGATCTTGCTCAGGAAGTTACAAAATTTTCAGGCAAACTCCCTTTGAGATTAAGGGTAATGGGCTCCCATTTCCGGGGAATGTCCATACAGGAGTGGAAAGGTGAACTACCGAGGTTAAGGACTAGGCTTCACGACGATATTAAGAGTATTTTAAAGTTCAGTTACGATGCCTTACGCGATGGAGATAAAGATTTGTTTCTTTATATAGCTTGCTTTTTCAGCCATAAAAGTATTCAGACACTGGAATAATTTCTTGCAAAGACTTTCTTGGACATGAATCGAGGGCTTCACATCCTAGCTCAGAAATCTCTAATATCTCGGGAATATGGGTTTGTAAAAGATGCATAATCTGCTAGTACAACTAGGTAGAGAAATTGTTCGCAACCAATCTGTTGGTGAGCCTGGGCAACGTCAGTTTTTGGTTGATGCTAGAGAGATCTGTGAAGTACTCGCTAATGAAACTGTAAGTTTTCACATTAGTCCTTATCTCTTTTTCCCTGCAAACTAACTTCATTGCTCCTTTCATCATTGGAGACGCAAGATTGCTCCTTTCACCATCCACATACATGTACCAAATTCCCTAACTGCTTCAAACTGAATCAAGAAGCAAGAGACCTTTGGAGATGCTGTAACAGTGACAGAGGCGTCTTGCTACACCTTTGAGATTTAAGGCTTGCATTTTGCTGGTTAATGATTGCGACGATGGTGAGGATGTTGAGCTGGGAATAATAAAGGTATCTTTTTCAATCACGTCCGAACAGAATGATTTCGCTATTCAGGGACCACGTATGTCCAATTTTAGTGGAGCATCTGTATATATACTCGAAGTTGAAGCAGACGAGGTGACTTCCAGCGAGCTTTTCTTTGACCGTAAAGACTGGAAGATAAGCGAATGCAGGGTAATCCAACTCTTGGACATGAAAATTATCAGAGGGAGACTGTGAATCACCAAAGACAACACAACAATTCTGTTTCAGAACAGAATGGGATCAAGGTTTTGGGTCTCAAACGACAAACGATAAGAAGCAGGAAACAAATACAGGTAAGCTTCTTTGATTTTTCCAGTTCTTGAATGGAGTCAAACGGATCTATTTTGATATTTCTGCTCTGTTTCCCATTAAACTCATTTACAGAGAATGGTGATCTTGATCTTTTTCATGGCTTCTTCATTGTCTTAGGATGTGGTGTGAGAACATTAGAGATCGATTGAGTTTCTCGAGACAATGCTCAAGAAATAGAAGGGTGAGGAAGATTGTCTAGTATGAAGTCAACGGGTTAAAACAGAGACAATAGTGTGATTTCCGAAAGAGGAACAACTTTCAGGTGCACTTTGCTCTCCCTGTATAAGTAAATCAGAAGCTGGTATCACTCCCACAGCTCCCGGAGAAGTGCCTGCACACTTCACTTACCAGGCTACTGGAGGTTCTCTGACAGTGGTTTTGAATCAAAGGCCACTTCATGAACGTGAACTTGGTTAGGTTTCTCCAGGCAGTGTTTTCCTTTAATGGTACTCGCTACTTACAATAACTTTATAAGGTTCAAAGATTAACGATAATATGAGTGAATGAATCTTTTTACAATGGCATATTGAGTTCTTCAAATCATGGTCATTTTTTTTTTTTGGGTGCATTTGGATTATATACTTTGTTCGATTGAGAAGAAAAGACAAAAATGGCTTGACAAAGTCCACCCTATAACAAAACCTCATTTTCCTTCTGCAACAAATGAGGAACAAACACTGTGTATTGTGTTACACTGTAGCAAAAGAAAGGGATTGGGAACAAAGGGTTTATCAAAGAGAGTTACAAAACAAACTCTTAATCATGTACATATGTTTATAAGCAAAAGCGATGTACATTGCATTCCGCTAAAAACTACAAAAGACATTCATTCAAAAGAGACATACTAATAAACGAAAGCTAGATAACCTGATTCCATTACGTTAAAACCCATCTCATGAGTCGTTGAATCAAACAGTAGCAGCAATAGCACTCACGAACTTGTAAGACCTAGGGACTGAAAGAACTGCGTCAAACCACTCGACCTTTCCCCAAATCTCTTCACTTCCCCGCTTTTCAAGCGAAATCACTGCACACCAAATCATCTTCTCCCTAAACCAGCTTGAAGGCAAATACTTGTCCCAGAAAACAACCATCTTACCACCATAATCAACCAATGTAACACGACTAAAACGAGCAAACTTAGGTAGCCCTTCTAAACCCTCTAATTTTCTCTCTGCTGATTCTACATTAGTGTAAGACCATTCAAACTGCCCACTGGAACTATAACTATAGATTATGTCGTCTATCAAACAAACCGAACCTCGATCAACTCCAATCGCTTCCATTTTCATTCCCTTTGGCGTTAGAGTATAACCCTTCCTACCAGACTGAGTGTTCATGTGAATCTTCCCTTCCATATCTCCAGGTTTGAATATCCGTTTTTCAGGCGGAACCGGTTTCCAAGTTTGAGTCTTTGTGTTGAACATTTCAACACAGTTCAAAGATTCTGGATTTTCGCAGCTTCCTGGTAAATACATTTTCCCATCAAAGACGTTACTTGTGTCCGTGTGAGCAAGACGCAAGCTTTGACCTTCGAGCCAAGTGTGAGTTCTACAGTCCAAGAATGAGACATTAGAGCAAGGAGCAACTCCGCTTGGTTCGGAAATGGCGTAGAGATTGTGATCAACAGCTACAAGATCCGACCATTCCAGAGGAGGTGAGTTGGTAAATGAGATCGGAGCCAA